TCTTCCCTTCCTGGGGGGGAGTGGGACCAATCCAGTCGCCCATCATCTCAGGGGTTATCAGTCTCTCCTCCGATGTTCATCAGATTGCCTGGGCTGAGACCAACTCACAAGGCCAGGGGCTGGAATCTTTCCAAGTCAACCCTTTGCTTCTCACGGAGTCAATCCAATTCCTTTCGAGAAGCAATTTTATCCTGGTTTCTTGGTGTGTAGTGTGGTTGAAGGGCATGTCTTGGGACCTTCCTCTAAAGATGACAGCTATGCTATACACTTCATTGCTGAGCCTGCTCGCTGCCCTTCCACCATCACACATCCTCACAGAGAAGCATAGGAGAGGAGGCAAGGCTCGTCCAAGATTATACAATGAGTCAGTGGCACAGCCAGAAATAGAACTTTCCAAACTCCCGAATTCTTAATAATAGCAATAGTAATAAATAGTCTCTTTATGATTTGGCAAGTGTTTTCACAGCTCGCATTTAATCTTCATTTGCCACAACTTTGGGGACAGTCTGGGCAAAGTTCAGCCTCCAGCAGGAAGCAGATCCGAGCTTCAGGCCAGCTGGGCTACCTGCTCGCCTGGCAGCCCTTGCTGGTCCCCTCTGTTCTCAGGATCTCACCATCTCAGCTGTGAAATGGGAGAGCTGGATGACAATGTGCCTGAAGTCTCTGTCTCCTCCAATGTGGTCCAGGGCTTCTCGGCCTCGGCGACGTGGACCTCCAGGGCTGGATAACGCTGTGCTGGGTGTCTCAGGATGGTCAGCGGAACCACTGGCTTCTCTCCCGTGGACGCCAGGAGTGGTCCTTGGCCTGGCTGTAGCAATGACAGTATCTCCTACGGCCCTTCCCGTGGCTGCCAAAGGACTTCAATCAGGTCCAGATGAGGAGGGATTTAGTGGAAAAAAAAGAGGTCTCCCTGATCCCTCCTCTTCTCTAGCCCCCTCACACCTTCCGGACACAATCTCCCAGTGCTCTGCAGCTACGCGTTTCTGAAATGCCCTAGGTGGCCCAGTGTGTGTCTGTTGTGATAATGAGCTGATTTCATACTTGCTCCTAAGCGGAGTTCACAGGTTTGTGCCTCCTAAGTGAGCAGCCGGGCTCTCCATCACCCAGCAGAGCCGAGGCTGGCGGCCGTGCACAGCTGGCAGGAGGCTTGGAGCGTGCTTTTACATACCGCAGCTCTGAGAAGCCTTCTCCCCAGCCAGAGGCTTCAATGGCTCTGGGTCTTCCCCACATTCAGGGTTACCCAAAGGCCCATAACATGTCTTTGCCCAAGAAAGGCAGACGCCCAAGTGAAAACCCTGAGGGACAGGAGGGGAGGTGGCAAGAAGGCAGCCCCGCCCAGGACGCTGCTGCACAGACCTGGACACTTGGCCTCCCATGGGTGGCAAGGGAAGGCTCTGACACTGATACGGCAACAGCCTGTCCCCTTCCAGCTCAGGACATCTTTTCACCTGCCCAAGAACACGGCCACACCACCGACTGCCTCTCTGGACTTGCTGCCCCACCTTGTCACAGGAATGCCAGCTTCACCACATAACTGATGTGCCCAGTAACATCTGCAGAGGTCAAGGTGTTTGGCCAGGACCCCTAAGCCAGGGACCAGGGCGGCAGCCTGCTAGCCTTACAAGCAGACCAGGGCAGGGTCAGCCATCTAGCAGGGACGTCTTCCTGCCTCCTTAGGGTCTCAGACGCTTCATCCCTCCCCCATGGCAACAGGAACCCAGAGAGCTTGTGCCCTAGTTACAGCCTCATACAGCTATCTGCCTTCGGTCTTACCAGTAACCCATACCTCGAGAGAGCATGTCCATTTCTCTGGCTAAGGCTGCCCAGAGGCCTGTCGCTCCCCAGGGCTCCCTTAGTCCCTGGTGGGGAACACACACCTCATCCATGAGCTAGAGGGAGATAAGGAAACTTCCAGCACCTTCAGCAGCAACAAGCATCCCTTGGGTGAGAGCATGAGGAGTGAAGAGGTTTCGCGTCTTCCGGCAGGACAGCAATGGGTCCTCAAGACGGGGTCTGCCACTCGGCCGAAGCTCCAGGGGAAGCTGGAGGAAGGCCACTGGGTATGCCAAGCGGCTGGGGTGGGAACAGCTAAGCTGCAGCTGCCAGGACGCTCAGCTCCCTCCCTCCTGGAGTCTATCTCGGGTGTTGAGGGCCAGACTCACAGAACACAAGAAAGGGCAGTGGAAATGGCAGCACCTTCCAGGTCACCCAAGAAACCTGAACATGAGGATTTTGCAAAAAATAGAACAGTCCAGGATTCTGCCCTTGAGCTGGAAGCAGCAGGATGGAGGGGACACATAGACACCCAGTCCACCCAAGGCCTGAGCTTGGCGGGGGGGCAGGGAGGGGGTCCCAGCAGCAGGGTGGGGAGTGACAGCTGGACAGACATAGCCACTCCTGTATGTCAAGCAGGGTCATGAAGGCTCCAGCCCTGGAGAGGGACTGGGTACTTAACTATTGCTACATGCACAGACACCTACAGCGGCTTGATGTTTGCCTAAAAGAAAACTCGAATTGTAGGAAAGATCGTGGAGGAAGGCAAAGAATAGTTACGGTTCTCTACGACCTGTGTAGGAACATTACCAGAACTTATCTGCTCCTCGTCTGGCTGCTCTGAATAACAGTCGGAGGAAATTTCCCCAAGCTTGTTAATTCGCCAAAGCGTCGTCAGTTATTACAAGTACCTGCTGTACCGAGAACAGAAACCACTGTTCATGGTAACGAGGAAGCACATCGCTGGAGTGCAAAGAGCTCTCTCTGCACAGAGACCCGGGGGGTCCCAGGGCTCAGTCCCAACTCTCCCACCTCGGGCAAGACCCCTCCCGGTAACACTGGCTGACGCAGAAGAGGACTGGGGAAGGAAGCTGGCTTGAAGAACCAGGTGTTTTTCAAAATTTCATTCTTGCTTGAATGAGCCTTTAATGAGTTCAAAGTGCACACCAGCACCAAGCACACAGTGGGACCAGGCACCAGTTCTCTCTGGAATATTGGGCTTACATCTGCTCCCACTGCAATTGAGGTCACAGCAACACCTGCCGCCTAGGAAGCACACAGTGAAGGGGTTCAATGACAACAGTGATGTCTGGGGGCTGTGGCCTAACCTGATGCTACTGTGGCCAGTGAAGGGCAAGTGGTAAGAAAGTCAGGGGTCCCTAGCCAGGTACCGTTGCCGCCCCCTACTGGACACCAAGCCCACAGCCTCACATAGAACCGATTCTGGCCAGGGGAGTGCTGGCTCTAGGAGTCCCATTGCACACCCTAGGATGATACAAGCTGTTGGTCTGCATATTCACAGGGTCGAGTCCTGCACAGCCATAGAATGTCTCACCACACCACTAAGGCGCTAAGGACTAAGCACAGAGCTGGGAACATCCGTGCAGCCCCGATGGAGCCAAGAAGCAACAAGCAGTTATGTCACTGCACAGACCCTTCACGTTGAAAGGCTTTGAGAAATGCGGCAAGCAAATGTTGAGTGCAGGTAGGCAGAGAACCAAGCCAGGCTGGGGGTTTGACTCAACGGTCTTGGTGAAAGATCTCCAGGCTGGAGTAGACCTTCTGGGAACGTGCACATTCAGGGATGGGATGTGAGGGACACAGCTAGCAGACGCAGAACAGGCCAACGCCGCCCCCCTCCCTCCAGCCATTCAAAACAGTTGGAAAGTGGAATACTCTAATTGTGGTCCCATGAGCCAACATCCAACTGCCTCCGTGTTCTCTCAAGTCGACTTTAGGATGCGTTTCCAGAAGGATTCCGAACCAAGCCAGAAGGAGAGGAAACACATCCTGGAAGGCTCTAGCCACCGCCATGTTCCCACTCACCCGCTCCTTCTTGGTCCAGTCTGACTCTCCCAAGTTGCCCTAATTGTATCTTGGGTTTTTAGGCCTCCAGGGCATCAGGCTCCCAGACCTCCCCTCTAGAGCTTTTCTGTTCCCCCTCAAGTTCTTCCCTGATTCAAGACAACACCACAGAGCTGACCCCCACTTCCAGAAGCCTGCCCCCCTTTCTCCCGGGAATCGCCCGGGGAGACCTGCACCTACCCCAGAAGATACCTCAAGTGCGACTCAGGCACGCATCCTGCTCCTGGGACTGGTGCCCCTCGGGGATGCACAGAGTCCACACCCGGGAGCCCACCGCCAGCAGCAGCAGGAATATTCATTAGTCATTCCCGGAGGAAGCCCACCCCTCCCCAGCCCGGGAGCGTCTGCCCGCCACTCCGCCACTCCGGGAGGCTCCCACCCAGCCTGGCATGACTTCGGATTCTTTAGTTGGCTTCTGCAGAAGCGGGACCAGCCAGGGCTCCCCACCACCGCACTGCAAAGACGCGCGCTACGCTGCTGGGCATGCCCCCAAGCGCGGCGGATGTTCCATCGAAGCCTCCAGGGTCTCCACGGGGTCCACGGGGACTCCCCCGCTCCCGCCCCGGTTGCCCTGGAATGCCTGAAGCGGGCTCGCCTGAGACAGTCTGAAGGCGAGACCACACCTCGGTCCAGCAAAAGGCGGCTGGCAGCTACGCTGTGCGCGGTGCTGGTTCCAGGAGCGCTCTGTCAGCCAACGCTGTGCCCGCGAGACAGATCGGTTTCCCCGGGGACGGAGAGCCGGCCCTCCAGGACGCTTTCCCAGCCCGGGAGCGAAGGCGCTCGGCCCGCCGCACGGTAGCGTCCCCAGCCCTGAACTGAGCCTGCGAGGCTGGGTGACTCCGCGACAGCCCCCAACCCCCCAACCCCTGGCACATCTCTCGTCACCTGCTCCGCCTCCTCCCACATTGCTGACCTCCAGAGCCCCCCACCCCTCCCCGTGGGCTGCAGAGGGTCGTCCCCACGCCGCAGCTCCCGGGCCACCTCCAGCCGAGCGTCCAGCTCTCGTCCCTGGCCAGCGGGATCGACTCTGCGCGCCCACCGAGTCCCGCGCCTCATTGGCAAGTTGGGGAGCCTAAGCCGCCGCTTCCGCGGTCCCGGTCCTCCCAGACTCCCGGTGGCTTCCCCGCCACCTCGGCGAGCGGATGGGGAGGGGTGCGTGGGGTTGGAGAAACTTTCTCCTCCGGGGATGGGGGCGCTCGAGCGGGTACTCACAGCGAGGTCGGCGCTGCCAACCATCCTGGACGCCGCTCGGCCCCACCGCCGGGGAGGGGGGCGCGGGAGCGCGGGCGCTCGCTGCTGCCGCCGCCGCCGCCGCCGCCTCGCCGCTCCCAGCCCCGGTCCCGGGCTGGCCTCGAGCCTCCCGCCCCGACGCCGTGCGCTCGCTTTATACAACTCCACTCGAGCGCGCCCGGCCTTATGTAAAGGCTGGCGGAGGCCCGCAGCCAATGGCGCGGCAGCTGGAGCCGGGGGCCCTTGGGCGGGGGGCGTCCGCGCAGCCAATCGCCGCCTGGAGAGCTCCGGGAGCCGGGTGGGGGAAGGGGTCGCCTCCCCGCGCTGATTTAGGAGCCGGGATTGCGGTGGCAGCAGCCGGCAGCCCGGCTGGCCCGGCGCGGCGCGTGGCGGGCCCCGCGGTGGGCGGCGGCGGCGGCCAAGGGCGGGCGCCCCCTGCGTGCCACCGCGCCCCGCCGCTGCGACGCGTAACCTTCTGGAGGCTGCCGGGCCTGGCGAGGCACCAAGCGGAGAGGGCGCGCCTTGGCGGGGCGCACGGGGCCCTGGGCCGGCGGGAAGCCGCGATCCCTTGGGAGGAAGCGCCGGGAAGGAAGGCCCCCGGGGTGGGAGGGCCGCGAGCCCCAGCACCCCGCGGGCAGCCCTGCGATGCGCGCGCGGCCGAGGAGGAGGGAGACGGCGGGAGCAGCCGCGCCGCCTTCCAGTCCCCTAGATTGCGATCTGGCCGTCGCCGGGCCGGGCCGGGCCTGGCCGCACGAGCTGCGCTGATGGCGAGATTGCATGCTGCGGAGCGAGCGCCGAGCGGATTTTTATCTGGCCTGGGGACGTGTCCGAGCCTCCAGGGAGCTGCTCAGTATGGGGAGCAGAGCTTCACGACCGCCTCAGCGGGCGGGGAGCGGACAGCAGAGCTCCGAGCTCGGCTGGGCAGCGTCTGCTATCCCCGCCCGCGCCGCGCCCGCCCCGGGCCGTGTCCCTACCCCGCTCCACCCCGCCTGGCCCCGCGGGCTTGGCGCACCTGTCCTGGCCCCGCGGCGGTGCTTGGGAAGGCATCTCCCTGACTCTCTGGACCAGGTTCACACCCCAGGTGCTATTCTCTAGGACAAGATGCTTGGTCAGCTTGACCAAAAATGCAAGTGCCCGGGGCGGGAAAGCAGGCTGGGTCGACTTAGTTTGGGCCCTTAGAAAAAAGCCTGGCACACACAGAGTAGGCGCCTGGTGAGTCTATACTGAATTGGATTTTGAGCTTTGGTGAGCCAGGTTTGGGGTGTTGAAACTTGAAGAATGATAGACCTGGATTCCCCGGACAGAAAGGATTGGAACCATCCCTGTCTCCCCACCGGTGGGCGCTGTCCTGGCCATCAGCCTCAACCCAGTGCGAGACCCTACAGTCCACGACTGTGAACAGAACTACACCAGCGTGACGACGCCAGCCCTGCCCTGAGTGTCTGAGATCTCCTCTGGGGAGACATGGCCAATCACACACTCCTGTTTGGCCCAAGCTCTCAGCCCTTTGAGGGCTGTGCACTCCTTGAGAACCTGGTTTTAAAATGACCAAATCTCTATTAAAAACCCGTGTGCACGACTTTACACAGTCGCAGGTGCATCCCTTGAGAATCATTTCGCAAGTTTCCTGGGGCTCTGCTCAAGGTCAACTGGCTTCTCCAGGTCACAGTTTGCTTCTGGGGGTCACGAGCCCTTTGGAAACTTTAGCATGTCTGACCAGTGTTATTGTTCTGTTTCCAGGAACACATTCCCTCGCATGCACATGTTGACCTGCCAGTTGGGGACAGGTCATGGATCAGTCTAGCAACCTTCGCCTGACAGCAAAAAGACACCTGCTCCCGGCTCCCCCTGTAGGGAGTCCCATTGGTTCTGCACCTAAGGGATCCCACCACCACCACCGTGCTCCCAGGGCGCCTGAGTCATGTGGCCATAGCTCTGGCCCTTGATAGGCTGTCTCCATATTCACCTCTCTGCATCACCAACCCCCTACATACGGAAGCAAGTTGCAGGTTGTCATATTCTGTCAGATCCGTGAGTGTTCCTTAGGCAGGAACTCCAACTCAGGGAGACAGCCTGTGACTGGTAATTAGCCAGTTTCACTCCATCCCAAGCATCTGAGCACACCTTTCTTGGTTTTGTTCTCACTTCCCTCCCTGCTGGCGTAGCTGTGAGCAGCAGCCCCAGCTGCGGGGCCTCGCCTCCCCTCTCGCTAGCAGCATGAGTCACCGGCACTGTGGTGATCAACATCAGCCTTCCAGATGTGAGCATGATTGCTGTGGACAAGTCTGTAATGATCTCACACTCTCCTGTGCCTATCCAGGTAATGGGAGCCACAGACCGGAGGTGCTGGGCAGGACACAAAGACGCAGGAGACGGAATGTTCCAGCCAGGAACTTATCCAGAGAGAGGATAAGTCTGCGTCTGACCCTGCGAGAGTTGCAGCCTGTCCTGGCCTTTCTCATCTGCCATTCCTCTCCTACCTCCCATGCCCATTCACTCTGCCCAGGTTGGTGTCCACTCACAGCTGCAGCCCCATGGCTGCCCATGCCCTGGCAGATACCTCCCCCACCCCTACATTGCACAGACACAATCCCCCTCCCCCAGGGCACATATCACGGTTATGAGCAACATCGTGTCTCCCCCATCAAGCTCATATTCGGAAGTCCTCATGCCCACAGTGACTGCATATGGAGAATGGGCGTTTTAAATAGGTAATTAGGTTAAGCAGTTCCAGAGGACTGGGGCTCTAATCAAATAGAATCAACATCTTTTTTATTTTTTTTAAAGATTTATTTATTTTTATTGAAAAGGCAGATTTAAAGAGAGAAGAAGAGACAGAGAGAATGATCTTTCATCCACTAGTTCACGCCCTAAGTGTCCTCGATGGCTGGAGCTGAGCCAATCCAAAGTCAGGAGCCAGGAGCTTATTCTGGATCGCGCACGTGAGCGCAGGGTCCCAAGGCTTTGGGTCATCTTCTATTGCTTTCCCAACATCCTGACTCCAGCCTCCTGTACTCTAGGGTCTTTCCACAGATGTCCCCTGACAATCCTTGCCCCTTCTCACCTAGACACCTTCTGATAACGTGTTCTCATTTTCTGAAATCTAGGCTAAGACTCACCTGTGCTTGCTTGCAAAACTGCCCTGGCCAGGCAGTTCTGCTCAGCTCTCCCGCAGGTGTGCCACCCATAACAATCCCTTATACACCTTGCCTTTCCCCCTCTCAGTGTTTCTTAGACATTGAACTTGGCCTTTGGACCAGAACATGAGCTCCTCTATGTCCAGAGTTTGTATTTTATACTTGGGCACCTCGTGGAGCCCAGCATGGAGCTGGACAGAATGAGTGCATATATCTGCTGATTCATTCATTCCATTTAAACACGTTTGCTTAAAAATATTAGGAAGGTTTGTGGGAGTTCATTTCTAAACACAGGACATTGGTGTGCACTGACCCCGCCATCGTCACAGCCCATGGGATCGGGGCTCTTAGCATCTGGCTCTTTCCTGTGGACTAGGCTCAGACGGGGCCACAAGTTGTTCCTAGACCAAGCTGCCAAGTGCATCCCAAACCTGTGTGACCTGCCATTCACAAAGGACCTTGCTTCTAGCCCTTTGTCTGAATCGAAGGTTTCCGGTGGCCTTGACTGATCCGCTGGGCTGTCCTCTGCCATCCAGATGCAGAGGAGGGGCTGGCACTCCTCAGATCTTCGAGATGTGTGTCCAAACAGATCTGTCTGACATACTTGTTGCTAGGGACGCTCCGCGGTTTAGAAATTAGATATGTTCTGTGAGTATCTGGGTAGAGTCAGATGTCAGACATGCTGCTATTGCCTTATGACATATATGGAGCTTTTAAAAAGATCTGTTTATTTGAAAGAAAGTGTGTGTGGGGGGGAGAGACAGAGAGACAGAGAAAGGATCTTTCCTCTGCTGGCTTCCTCTCCACTTCTCTCATAGCAACCAAGACTGTACTAGCTAAAGCCAGGAGCTTCCAATGGGTCTCCCACTGGGTGACAGGGGCCCAAACACTTGGGCTGTCTTCCACTGACCCACCCAGGTGACCAGCAGGGAGCTGGACTACCAGAAGTGAAGCAGCTGGGACACGATTCAGTACTGAATGGGAGGTTTTACCTACTGCCCCACAACACTGCCTGCACTATATGGCTTTTTACACTAACTGGGGATGAACAGAAAGCACTTTCATACTCATCCACAGGTCTTGTCACCAATGTACAAAGAAAAAAGCCCTCTTAATTTCCAGAAATTTGAGGATTTAGAATTGCAGACAAATGGGATTGTAGGCCTGGCTATCCCAGCGGACCTGAAAGTTGTGGGTGTAAAACAGCAACGAACAGCAGAAAATGGGCAACTGAACAAAGTGAAGGGTTTAGGGAGCATGGGTAAGTAACCCGTTCTCAACCAGGTTGTGTCAGAGTGGAGTCCCTTTCCTGCCAGGAAGATGCATTTATCAAGGGGCAGGACAGTTCCAGACACTGTTGTACCATAAGAGGCAGATGTACAGATGGACTTTGCAAGGAGGCAGGCAGAAGCCACGAGGCCAGGGGCAGGGAAGGAGTCTAACAGATGGCCAGAGAGAGCTGGTTCAGTGCAGCTTGACCGGGAGTGCCTGCCACAGGCAAACTGTTTAGATAGAGAATGGAGCAGGAAAAGGTGGTGGACGGCGGAGGACAGGATGGGATGCTGGGGCGTATGGTAGGAGGGTAGGAGGTTCTTAGCGCTGGGGGAGCCCGGGGACATGGTGCAGGCAGAGTCTCCTGTCACATGTACCTGGGCATGTACCTCGTGGTTTCCCACATCATAGGCAGGGTGGCTCTGCTGTCAGAGGTGCTGGCTGGGAGTGTGGTCCAGGGAAGGAGCTGGGACTGTGGAAGACCCCCAGCCTGTATAGGTCTGTTCCTCAGCCGTCCCCCTCTCTGGTCAGGAGGCTCCCTAGAGCTCAAAGTCACCAGCAAGACGTTTCACATCGCCTGATGGAGAATCTCAAGGTCGTCTTTGTTGCTGACCTTGGTCCAGCTCTCTCTGGCCAGGTCCTCTTTGCCCTTCTCTTCTGGCAGGGCTCCAGCCAGCACCCCTAGCTCTGGTAACTGAGTCTCTATATTTCACTCTCCCAGCCTGGCACACTGGGCCCTGTGACCCAGTCCTCAGGGACTAGGGTTCTGAGGTCTGGGTACTTTCCTTTATTCCCGATGGCTGCTGCCCCACAGTTGTGACATCAGCCACCTCCTTAGCTGTGGCCAGCTGCTTTGTGCCAGCTTCCTGTGACATACCCTGAGTCTTGCTTTTCTGCCTCGCACTGCCAGCTGCCAGCGCCTGCCCAGATCCTGGCCTGGCACTGGTGGGCAGGGCTTGCTCCCAGTCCCAGCTCCGCCTGGTCTGACATTTCTAGCTCCGGACCCAGGCAGGTCTCTGAGAGTTGTGGACTTAAAAGAGTTCTTGAAGCCCTCGGGCTGTGATGGCAAAGAGTTACTCACTGCAAATGTCGGAGCACTCTTGGGCGTGGGGTGCCCTTGCCAGGGCCAGTCTGAGGGCAGGCAGAGGAGTGGGTGAACAGGAGGGAAGAATCTGAGGAGAGATAGGGGAGTGGAAAGGTTAGGAGTGGGGAGGACGGGTGTAGTTTGTGTTTGTTGGATGGGCAGAGCAAGGATATCTTGTCATCAACAGAGACCAGCACTGACACAAGAATACAGAGCGTGTGTGTGTGTGTGTGTGTGTGTGTGTGTGTGTGTGTGTGTGTGTGTTGGGAGGATGATGGACACTCCAGGAAGGAGGTAGGATAGGAACAGGGGCTAACAGGGCAGGTGGACCAAGACTAAGACACCTGCTTGAGAACCACTGGGGCTGCCATTTGCTCATCTACCCATCCTGGCGCCAAAGCTAGCTGCGCACCCTCCTTCCCTACCACCTCCTGGTCCTCCCAAACTCCACCCTCAACCCCATCATCAAATTCCGCTAAAACCAGGATGGCTTTCTTACAGCTTCAGGAAGTCAGAGGTCAGGTGTGCACAGGCAGGTAACAACAGCAGGCTGCTGCTGCTG